GGGCTGATCTAAGTCGGGGCATGGCTAACTCATAGATCAAACCCTGAAACAACCTCTGGAATGATCAAAGTCAGGTACGGCTAACTTGCAGATCAGACCCTGAAACAACCTAGGGGCTAAAATAAGTCAGGGCATGGCTAACTAACAGATCAATCCCTCCTGAGATCCTAAACTGTGAGAAGAAAGAATTTGCATGACTGCTATACTACCCATGATTTAATATGTGGACACTTCAACTRAGGCACTTTTACAAAGTTAAAAAATTGTAATTTAAAAGAATAAAAACAGGAATGTATGAAAACAAGAAGGGGGTKTAATATCCTTATAAAAGCATTCAACCAGGAATGGCCATAATTCCACATGGTTAAAAATGATCATCAAACTAATTTATTTATACAACACATTTTTAATACATTATTACAGTATTAACAATTTCTGTACAAYAACATAATTAAACATCACATGTAAAAATGACAACATAATTATTTCCAATAGTTATTCACTAATCACTTGATATGTGGAAAATTGTAATCTTGCAAAATTGGAAATGTTTAAAAATAATTTACAGAAATGGACTCATTTTGGATAGTATTATCTATTTCGGTCAGCCATTTACAATTTAGATACTTTTAACCCATAGAATTTAGTAGACCTGTCATCACATCGTAAAGTTCCACAGTTAGTAGAAAAGCGACTACAATAGCCCATTTCCGAGATATGCTTCGCTTGTCACACGCAAAGGTTTCAGTATGAGGCTATGTGCAAAATGCTCAGTCATTCGTGACAGACAGTAAGAATWAATTTAATTTAGCACGTAGCCTCATACTGAAACCTTTGTGCGTGACAATCGAAGCATATCTCAGGGGTGGGCTATTTGATTTATTCAGTTATTTTGRGATAAAATATAACAGTTCCTATCTTATCAAAAGGAAGTACTGGTATTAGTTTCTCTTAACGTTTGTTAGATTACAGTAGAACCTCTATTTTAAAAGCAACCACCCTCTGGCAATTGGGGAATCGTAAAGGGGCAGATAGAGGTACAAAACTGAATACTCTCTTTTGGACTGCCCACATGAATATATTTTTTTGGAAAAGGGAAGAAATCTATGTGTACTATCAGAAAAAAACTGACAACCTTCCCTTTCTTCAAAGGAAAAAATATTGAAACCCTACCCATTGTTTGTCAGTCTTGTATTAAGTGATAGAACTTTGGATTGAATAAGCATACCGACGACCCTCCCTTTTTGGCTGTGTAACTGGCCCTCCCCTTAACCCTCCCCTCTCTAAAAAAATGCTCCCTAAATAGAGTTTGGTTGCTTTATAGAGGTTCTGTTGCATAAGTTACTAACTTTATGGAATAAGTGGGTCGACAGGCAACTCTACACTGATAGCGGGGTTTTACAGCACCCATATTGTGGAGTTAAACAATATAATTTTCTACTTTCAAAAGTAAAATCTTTTTCCTGCAAAAATATTACTAAACGTTGTTCTTGCCCCATGACATGGCTGCCTTCAACCCATTATGCACTAGGTCCTCCCTTAAAAACTATAAGACCCCCTCTATTCTAACACCCCCTCCCTCCCACAAGTAAAAGTAGCTTGSGACTAAATGGCTGAAATAATGAGAAAATTAAAACATAATATTATAATAGAACAATACATGAATCAGTCTGTTCGAGCTAGTTTTCCTAATAAGTTAGAGAAGTATTCTAATATCTTTTAGGAGCGACAAAGTAGAGCACTAGTGAGTATAAATATATAGAAGAATGAATGAATAGGAAGGTCAGTTCTAGAGGAAATAGTCTGCTGGAGGTTTCTTGGCTATAGTTGGCGTTCCTCTCACATCTTGGGGAGCTGCTTCGAATATTGTGAATTCTCGTTTTAAGTGCTCATCAAGCTCCAGRATGGCTGCAACATTTCCACATCTGTGAAATTAAGTTTTTAAATATTTGGGCAAAATTGATGTTATGTTAAAATGAAAGTTTTTGTTGCAATAATGTTGGTTAAATTTAACAGAGATTTGTCATAACTAACCCAAAAGGAAAGAATTTAGTGCAGTCCTGTGATGTCCTACCATCCTGACCAGGGGAAAGGTTCAAAATATAATATGGGTTGAAGGGCAGCGGCATAGCAGGGAAGAAGGATTACAAACTTTTACTAAACCGTTCGATATGGCCAGAAATTCTAAAGATGAAACTTGCACGCCTGTGTATTGGCTGGAAAAAGGCATATTGTCTCCCCCCCCCCCCCTACACTATGACTGACACTTCACTACTCCCCTGATCTAGGGTAAAATGTGTGGCCTTTAATGTCAAGATATTGGGGGTAACAGGACATTTGAGACATCTGGGGTCTTTTATTAGTTAGCACCGTACCGTGCACACTTCTACAAGTTTTTGATTTCTTTTTGACATCTTTTTGACAAGYTTTAWTTGTGCTCTTTACCGCTAACCAATTAGACATCRGCATTTTACCTTGATGTTTCAATAGGCAGAGTTTGTACATCGATGTAATGAAACATTCAAAGTGAAGTGCCATACGAATTGGTTAGTGGTGAAGAGCATGATTAAACTTGTCAAAAAGTGGTCAAGGTAACAATGATATGGTGTGTRTGATGATTACTATTCAAGAGATTATCATACAGACCTGTAGCAGTAGTTTGGTGCAGACCAGACAGTTAGGACTGTCTCATTAAAATGCCACTTGTAGCCTTCCATAACCAGTTGATGAGCTCGGCATATTAGATCAATGTCATTGGCTAGATTAAACTAGAAGGGACAAAATCAACAAAACATCAACAATTATTCAATGAACCATGTTAACAGACTAGGTGCTAACAAAGTCAAATGTTAGATAATGTTGAGAAAAACTTGTAGTTCAATCTTCACAGTTCTGTATTTACTCAATGCTTCAATTGAGTCCCTCATTGTTTAATATACTTTACTCTGATATGCAGCGCGTAAAGGAGGGAGGTGCTTAATCGGGTGTCACTTAATCAAGTAAATACCATATACATTTAAGACTTTGACCAATGTTTTCTAGGTGTCAATGATGTATAGCGTTATTCTTTCATCATTCTAAGCCTCACAAGCTTATTGGTTTGATTCCTACACACCACAAAGGTGAAGTTTGTTTGATGTGTTGTCCTCTCCCTTGTCACTAGGGATTTTTCACTGGATTCTCTGCTGGTTTTCTTYCTTCATAAAATTCAATATTTGAGTTGAGAGTGGTATTCATGCATAGAATATTGAATGCATCCGTAATCTGTGTGTGTGTTTGTGTTTGTGAACTATCCATTATTGCTGTTTTTCTAACAAAAACTGTTCTTACTTGAGCTACTACGTCACTACCAAATAGGTATCCTGCTCCTCTGGGACTTACTCCCCAGCCTTGGATATCTATCATCAAAATAAGAATTAACTTAGAAACATAAATTATACAAGGCTAAAACACCTGGTCATCGGACAAAGTCCAGCTAGAGTGGATTACTCAGAAGATATGGCAGCCATCTTGCCAGGAAGGCAAAACAAAACAAAGATTATGGAAAATATATAGTTACTTGTGTTGGTCTTTCTTTTATGGGTAAAGGTGATCAACAGGGTGTCTTAATTTATCTTTTGTACTATTATTCTTTTGTTGTGAGCTGTTAATRTCAATCGACCTCATTTCTGTACAAATGTTCATTTGCCCTCTGGACACCCAATAATGCCTTGTAATCCAAGATGGCCACCATACCACTGAAGTAGTCCCTTGAAAGTACAATKTACCTGTCTGGTCAATGTTTGCCTTGCCTGTCATTTTGAGTCACGTAGAGTCAGAGATGAGGTATGACTAAACTAAAAGAATTTGGCTGTTCAWAATGACAGGCAACTGAACAGCCGTCATTTTTTAGCCCTGATACATGCATAAGGAGAAAAAGAGTTTACTGGGTAAAAACCCATCTATTGGTAACCCAGTGGTTTGATTTGAAAACTGTGCTTTTCTATAGCATTTGCAACCATTTTTCTACACAACCCCTCTGTTGGTTCTGGAGATGGTAACACATGACTCACCTTCAGGGTCTGACCAAAGGAGATCACACATTGGACCATCATGRGGAACTTCTTGCTTTCTGTCGATAGAGCGAATCTGGAAAAACAACACCCAAAAAGCAGCTGTAATTACTGATATAACTGAGTTGACAGCAAAAGAAGAAAAATACATCAAAATAGATTATCACATAATCACTCTATTAAGCCGATCATGAGATAGAGATCCTGCCATCTTGCCCCATGGGACATTATTTGGTATGGTTCTCTTTCTAGCTCAGAAGGTTTTTCCAGCCCTTTGGTTATGTCTTCTCTCTCAAATGAACCTTAACTTATTCAAACTGGTTAGAGCTGTGCTGCAGGGTCACACTGTATAGTGGCTGCCAGAGGTGCCTTTAACGCTGCTTTCTGTTCTACCCTGTTGTGCTGCACCACTGCTGTACTTCAGGTGGTGATAAGGTATGACAAGTTTTACAAGAACACAACAAAGTTTTTTTTATTCTAAGAGTAACAAAGTTTTCTTTATTCTAAGAGGAATAAACATGGCTGCCATATGATAAAGATCCACGATAATAAAATAAGTTAATTCTGTAATCCAGTAGGAATATCTGAACAGCAACAACAGAAACAAAAAGCATGTATCACACACACCTGATCCAATGTGCTTATTGAAGGGGAAAGTCCACCATGAACACAGAATATCTACAATCAAAACAACGTTTAGTTTTAGCTGCTAACCCTTGTTTATAAACTGGAAACAAACCAAAGGGAATCAAGGGTGGTGTAGCGATAGTCCATCCACCTCTCACTTGGGGTCTCGATCAGGTTCAATTCCTGTGCTCGCCATCACATGTGAGTAGAGTTTGTTAGCTCTCTCCCTTGATTCCAGGGTTTTTTCCTGGGTTCTCCAGTTTTCTTCCCTCCGCAAAACCTAACAAACTATATTCCAATTGATCTTAGAGTTAGCTGTGCCCTGACTTTRATCAGTTCAGCAGTTGTTTGAGGGTTCAAGCTGTCAGTTAGCCATGTCCTGATTTGGTTACCCTGATTTCAACCAGCTCAGAGGTGTTTCAGGGTATCTACTTTTACACTTGATACACATGATAAAAGTTATCTTGTCAGAACTTTAAATGACAATTGGTTACTAATACCTGGTTTCTGGCTCAAGGTTACTGGCCAAAATATCATTACCAGAAAGGCAAAGTCTGACTAGACATTATACAATGACCAGCCATCATTTCTAGCCCTGCTTGTCATTACTAAATACAGTACATACCCTGTTATCGATAATCGCTGATAGACTCAAGTAATCAAATATCTCTGTGCAGTATCGCCATACAGTTATGGACCCATATTTTTTAAGACATTCATCATAAAATCCATAAACCTGTTTATCAAAAATGAACATGGTTAGGGAAATGGGGTGATAAGAAATTGTGCAATTTCCCTCCAAGGGGTGGGAAAGGTTTTGAGGAGGTTGTGTTGCCCCAAAAGAGAGGAATCCAGTATGGGAATTGCAAATTCTAAGAAAATCAGTAAAGTAACAAGGAATAGATCACTCTTCTGTACTGTTATTATTTTCTAAACATACAGTTGAAATAAATGTTTCTACTGCGGTTTTCGATATTCTGCAAACTCAGTAGTTACAAGCTGCAAGCTGAAATTTGGTTTTTTGCTGCCGTCAATCAAAAATAATCAGTCAGTACCTTCAATATTTTTGACTCGCGGCAGTGAAAAACCAATTTCACAAAAAGCTGTTGGAATATTTTAGTTTGCAGGATATGAAAAACCACAGAAATATCATAGCATAAGGGGATACACAACAATACCGCAGCAAAACACATTATAAATGAACCACTAACCTGTGTTATTTGCCTGCTTTCATGATTGCCTCTGATCAGGGTAATTCTATCTGGATAACGCACCTAAAGACATGAAAATCCAGTCTTTAAAACATTATCTTTTACTTTGCTTTGATAAAAACTAAATCAAGATGATCGAGACGATCTAATGAAGATGATCAAGACGATCTAATAAAGATGATCGAGATGATCTAATTGGCAAATTGAACCCCCCTAAACAAACAAAAAAAAAAAACCGGCTTCTAATTATGGGATTTGTACTTGTCCTTTGTGGGATTTGACTGTGGTTTAATGGGTTCAGATGAACCTCAAACTCCCTAGACCTCTAAAGGTCTAACGTCATTGTGCAGGATGTGGCACATACCTTAAGTGCTAATAGGAGTAAAAATGTTTCCACGCTGTAAAATCCTCTATCTACGAAGTCGCCCATAAAAAGATAATTTGTGTCTGGTACATCTCCTCCAACCTGGAAAATCATAACATAACAAACATAAAGAAATTGAATTAGGCTTCCAAGAATGACTACCAAGGGTGATTGTCCAAGTGAGTGTTTTCAGTCTTAGTAGGCTTGTTGTTTATTAGATAACTCTTAATTATCGATGTTGTTTCCAAGGGAATTTAAGGATAACTTAGAGTGAGGGTCAATGAAGACTGACTGGCCCCTATTTGAAGTCCTGTAAATATGAAGTGTATAGTAGAGTTTACCTTGAAAAGTTCTTTTAGATCATAAAATTGGCCATGTATATCACCACATACCTAAAAAGCAGTAAAACATATAAGTTTGACACTTAAATGGGTTGAGGGTGGTGTAGTGGTAATGAGGGTATAAGGGAACCAACTGAACTGTATAGCATACACAAATATGAACTTACAGTAACTGGTGAATCTACTCTTTGTACATTACTCTCCTCTACTAGTATTTCCCTAGTAAACAACAACAAAATATTATTAATATATATGATATATAATATTAATCAAGCATTACCATAGCAACACAGTATATGCCGCAAACAGTCTTCTATTGACATGTTGTACAGCCCACGACATTGAGGTTTAACAACATATATAACATGGAAAAGACTAGAAATAATAAGATATGTGAAGAATTTTTGGATATCCTTGGTCTCTAGGTTGGAAGATCACAACCCTTACTATCTACAGTCCCTAGATAATATGGCATGRTAGATAATTCTGTTACCTTGAACAATTCTTCATTCATTAATTATCAAAATGTTAACATTAAAACTTCAATTACCTGGCTTTAGCACATAATTGCTTGACTTCTTTTTCTGTGATTAGCTCACACTGTCTAAGTTTCTCAATTTGCCTTTGAAACGAAATTAGAAATCAGTACAATAGATTCATTAGTACGATAGCATCAACTACGAGTACTTTACGTTTACTTTGCCGTGATTTCGTGTTTTCCCGCTTCGGGAGCACRAAAGAAAAGATAAAATGAGGAACAGGAAGCTTGTTTTGTGATATATAAAAAGGTTTTTAAGGGCCAAATCGTTAAAATATGGTTTTGAATGGCTTAAATTTCCGATAAATGAAAGCATATTTACGTAATATAACTCTTCTTACATCATAACACAGATACAAAACCAACTTAAAATTATAAAAATAGAAGAGTAAGGACTACATTACCGGTCTAAATCACTACAATCCGCCATGAATGAATTATAACCTTGTGTTCAGAATACGAGGTGAATATTGAAATAAGAATCTTTGAATTCTTGGCACGATTTGGCTTTTTTCACGATAAAGCCTCAACAGCGTTTACTAAGATGAAACTTTTTATCACTTTTAGGCAGCTTTTCGACTCAATATTAAACCAGTCCGTAGAGTATTAACTGTTTTAAGTAGTACTTGGTAAATGGGTTGTAAAGTGAAGTAAAAGAAAGACTTKTAGTTGATGAAAAGTTCGACTATTGCATCAAGCCAAAAAAGCCGCCTCTATCATTTCCTGTTGACATGCGCAGTGCCACACGTGACAAAAGCCCGCCATCATGACATAATGCTACGTCACAGCTGTTCTAAATATGACAMTATATGGATGGGCGGTGTCGGGCCTAGATAGAGTCAAACTGTACCCTGGGTTCCAGAGGCCTCTGGAACCCAGGGTAGTCAAACTGTTGAAAAGTTAGATAAATGTATCTAACTTTGATAACTATTTAGTTCACGTCAGCTAAAATAGTAAAAGCGCGCCAAATAACGGTCATGCTAATTAGGGGGGTTGTTTTACGAGAGAATGAGTGAATAGACATTCATTTGTATCATCGTTTCCCCCCTGATCTCAGTAGCTGTTTACTCGTAGTTTCAAATTTAGGTGACGTCAACTAAAATAGTAACTAACTTATCTAATTTAGAAAGGTATAACTAGCTAAAAACTAGTGTGAGCTGCGTCGGTGTTTCTAATGAAACAGTAATGATGAAAAGGTAAATTATACACCGTGAAAAGATG